CCTGGTGTAGTGGCTAATTCGTATGAATTCGAAAGAGTTCAGTTGTACAAAAAAGTACAATTTTAAAAAGGAGGTGTGGCACCAAACCCCACCCCTAACCCCAACCATCATTGGGTGAAGAGCAAATCTTACTAAAATGTATGAATTAGATTGTACAAATTCATACAAATTAGCCACTAAATAAAAAAAAATTGGGAATTGCCATGAGAATTCGTTGGCCGATCCGCTGCGCGCTGCTGATGCGGCTGGTGTGAAAGGCAAATGCCTGTGCGCTGCTTCTGCTCATGTGCTGCACACACGCTGCTCATGCTTTGCTCGCACTTGCAGTGTGAAACAGGCGTAAACCGAAAACAAATGAATGGATGAACTGAAATAACTGTCTGTAGTGTGTGTGTGAATGCATGAGGGTGTTTTCCACATGTGTAAAACATATGCTGGATTATTTGGCTGTTCATACCACTGTGGCGACCCCTGAAATAGAGAATAAGCCATAGGAAAATGAATGAATGTACTGGCAGTTTTTTTAGATGGTTAGTGTACTACACCAACCCAGAGAATATATCACTTTAAACATTTAAAAATGTTAATAAAGTCACTTTTTACGAACTTTTCAAGGTTAAAAGTTGTTGGAAAAAAGATTAAAGTGCTATAATGCAATTCGAATGAATAAATTAACGGACAAAATATAAACAAATAAAAACATGACAGAGAACTGCTAATTTATGGATGTATTTTTTAAAGATATTAGGAAAGACACACGAGTAGTGGATATTATTGCTCCCACTGTACATACACTGTGGACACCTGCCAGTACTTTTCCTTGTGACCTTTGCCAAACAAGACATTGCTCTTAAAATACTAAAGGGCGGCTGAGTTCATGGACAAACTGTCACACATAGTGCTATTTTTGCATGCGAAAGTATACGAGGACGTCTGCAGCTAATCTGCATGTATTTTCGAAGGGAAAGAAAAAGCCGTCAGCAGTTTTTTTCCCCCAGTGTTTCTCATACTAAAAGCAGGTGTATTGACTTCATGCAGCCTTCAAATTCAATCTGAAACAGGAGCAGCCTCCAGACTTATCCTGTGTGCTCGCAGATGGCCAGAGATAAATATAGATGAAGCCTAACAAGTTTAGTTTTAGGCATTATTACAGCGGTTCTGACAGTAAATCTTCTGTAGTTAATGAGCAGCCTCTGAATTGAAAATTGCGTTGCAGCATGTAGTCACTGTTTCTGGTGTTATTTATAGCCTCTAAATAGTCAGTGCTTTTAGGCCTAAATAGTCTGCATGAAATCCAAATCGACACTGTTTATATGTACACCACCTGACAAAAGTCTTTTCAATGATACCAGTTGTAAGAGCAACAAATAATAGCTTGACTTCTAGTTGATCATTCGCTGAATCATCTGTTGAACTGCATCCCAATCATCACAAACACTACAGAAGACCTATTGGATCCCGCATTGACCCAAGATTCTCATAGAAATCAGTCAAGTTTGGTGAAGGAAAAATCATGGTTTGGGGTTACATTCAGTATGAGGGTGTGCGAGAGATCTGGAGAGTGGATGGCCTCAACATCCTGAGGTATCAAGACATTTGTGCTGCCCATTACATTACAAAACCACAGGAGAGGGCAAATTCTTCAGCAGGATAGCGCTCCTTCTCATACTTCAGCCTCCACATCAAAGTTCCTGAAAGCAAAGAAGGTCAAGGTGCTCCAGGATTGGCCAGCCCAGTCACCAGACATGAACATTATTGAGCATGTCTGGGGGTAGATGGACGAGGCATTAAAGATGAATCCAAAGAATCTCGATGAACTCTGGGAGTCCTGCAAGAACGCTTTCTTTGCCATTCCAGATGACTTTATTAATCAGTTATTTGAGTCATTGCAGAGATATATGGATGGAGTCCTCTAAGCTCATGGGGGTCATACGCAATATTCATTCTTTTTCTCCACTGCATCATGACTTTATACTCTGTACTGTACATTATTTCTGTTAAGTGACAAGATTTTTTGCCTAAGCAAAGTCAGACCTTACTGTCCTAATGAAATCAGTAAAAATCAAGGCATGATCATATTTTATTGTGGTAAAATAAGCATAATGTAGAGGCCTTTGCCTTTCATATAAGCCACTTCTGATGCCAAATGATCAAGAAGTTATTTGTTGTTTCTAAAATTTCTATAGGCAACAAGACTTTTGTCAGGTAGTCTATAGTGCACAGATAGTCTTAAGGTGAGCATTTATTGCTGATCACACTATTTGTTTAGGTAAGCTTTACTAAATTCTGACCTTTTACTTCTGCTCTGCATTGGCTGTTCTTCTCTGATGATGACGGATTGGGTAAGATATGCTTAGCCACGCCCCTCCAG